TTCTTGCCGTAAACCAAATGGGTAAAGTTTTGTTTATTTTGTCGCTGAAATATCCAAAGTTTTTGAAGAAGGAAGAGCAAACAAGTGGGGGAAGGCACCTGCCTTCAGGAGATAATGTTTTTAAAGAAAGTGTATAGACTTTATTATCAAAAATAAAAATTATTTTTAAGAACGTCTGTTTTTTGGGTTGGCAAGGGGATTAGCGGAAAGAGTTTTTTTATTATACAATAAATTATATAATCAAATTATATGATATATAATATATTAATTTATTTATTTTTAAAAAAAATACAATTTAATTTGTTTTTAAATTCAATAAATTACTTGTATTTTTTTAAATTTTTAATATTTTTGAATATTTCAATTTAAAAAAATTTAATATCAAAAATTTAATAAAATATAATATAATATACTGTATATATTAAAAGTTAATTTAAAATTATATATATTACAATATTTTGATTCAACTTATTTTTAAAATCAAAAATTTATTTGTTTAAATAAATTATATAATTTTAATATATACAATATATTATATTTATTAGACAATATACAGTAAGTTATAATTTATTTTATTATTATATAAATCGATTTTTTAATAATAATTTATATCTATTTATTTAATTTATTGATAATTTTTAATAATAATTTTTAACAATAGCTTTTTGAAATTATACAGTATATTGTAACCATAATTTTGAATTCTTAACAGTAAATTAACCACACAGATATGATTTTTTATTCAAGGTAATGACATAATTATTATTGAAAAACAAGTTAATTAATTAGAATTACACAATCCTTATTAAGAATAAAATGAAAATCAAGGGTATCGCCAATTAAAAGGTAAATTATGTAATCGTGGTAATTAATTGTGATTACATAATGAGTTGTGAAAATAAATAATAAAATGTATAAAATGTATAAAATGTGCAATTTTTAAGAAAATTTTAATCCCTTGTTGTATATACTATATGAACATGCACTTTACTATTTTTTTCTTTTTTTTTTGGTATGACATTTATTCTATATTTACAGTAATTACCGCACATCAATAATTTAATAACATAAATTAAAAATTAATGTAGTATGTAAGTAGCATATAAACTTCGGAATATCCAATTAGCCATTTTGGGAACTTTTTAAAGATCCTTAATATGCAACCAGAAGTGCTATTACGTATATTTATTTGTTATATCAAAAAAAAGTTCCCAAACTATTAGCCGAGTCCGCTGGGCGTTTCACTGAACTGTGTAAACATTATGTAACAGAAGATTTCCAAAGATCATTCTTAAGTATAAAAAAAGGAAGAAGAAAATGAAATTTTTTTCCATTTATAACCTCAATGAATTACGGAGCATTAAACCCAAAACCCTTTGTTCTCTGAATTATATGCAAAAGAGAATACATGAAAGCAGAGGATTCGTATACATAGGATTGAACGAATAATACTTAACAACGGTCCTTCTACTTATAAATCTTTTTAATATTCAATAATACTGTGATTGACGAATCCTCCAAGATGTCAACCACAGTGAAAATAGTACCCGTCAAACCAAATCAAGACTATGGTTCAACATCCACACGACAAGATACATCGATACCTATAAGCGAACCAAATTCCGAGAATTCTTTTACACGAGAAGCACATGTTGAAACCATTGGCAACTTCTCTTTGATACGCCGCGTTTTATTTTCGACCAAATTAAATATCTTGTTGATAATATTGCCTTTCGGGATTGCATCTCACTATCTACGCTTGGATGACACCATAATTTTTAGTTTAAATTTTCTCGCTATAATACCATTAGCTAAGTTGCTTGAATTGGCTACCGAAGGTGTTTCGCGTAGGGTCGGCCAGGTAATAATAACATATCGTCAAATGTTTTACACTCGAGCACACGCATTGATTAGAATTCGTTCCTTAAACACAAAAATAGGCGTTTGGTGGCTTACTGAACGCGACTTTTGGAAATGCAATAGAACTAATTGTTTCAATTATCGCGTTGATGCACGGTGAACTCCGAATTGTCCAGGCTTCGTTACTAGGCTCCATAATCTCTAACCTCCTTTTCGTGCTCGGATTTTGTTTTGTGGTCGGAGGACGTTACCACCACATCCAGGAATTCGAACAAACTGTGGCGCAGACTAGTTCGAGCTTAATGGCATTAGCGTGTATTGGGTTGATTATTCCAGCTGCATTTAACGGTGTCATAAATCGCGTCGTCGGGAGTATGGATGATGATAATGATGTGCATGATGAAGTTCTGAATTTGAGTCGCGGAACGGCAATAGTTCTATTGATTATCTATATACTTTATTTACGTTTTCAGGTATTTCGAAAATTCTATTTTATTAGGTTACCGGAGTATCGCTGAAATTTTTCCTAACAGCAATGACGTATTTACTTCTGATCAGTTAAAAACACATGCTGAATTCTACACAGATAAAACCGAAAATGATCCATCCGATGATATACCAATGTCATTAAAGCAATCAATATTTATGTTAGCTTTTGTCACACTATTCGTCACCTTCTCTGCCGAATACTTGGTAGATTCGCTTGAAGGGCTCGTTGAATATTCGGGGATAAGTAAAACATTTGTTGGTTTTATTTTGTTGCCAATTGTCGGTAACGCCGCTGAGGTAAGTACTTTCATCCTTGTTAATTTAGTGCGAATTAGAGATATTAACTGGGTACATATAATAAATAGCACGTAACTGCAGTTTCCGCTGCGAGAAAAAATAAGATGGACCTTTCTATTTCAGTCGCAATCGGTAGTTCGATGGTAGGTTTTTCATATTCGAAAATAACAAACGCTTTTTAAATCTCTAATTCTCAACTCCAACACCTCAGCAAATTGCATTATTCGTCACACCGTTCCTGGTATTGTTCGGTTGGGTCATCGGTCAACCAATGTCATTATACTTTCACACTTTTGAAACAGTATTACTATTTATTAGCGTCTTCATCACAAGTTATCTCATTCAGGTAAGCGTAAAATTTTGTTTTTAAATACTCTCAAGGACGTATCACCAAAAAAATAACCCTTGTTCTAATAATTCTCAGGATGGAAAATCAAATTGGTTAGAAGGTTCAATGTTATTGGCCACATACGCTATAATATCAGTAGCATTTTTCCTTTATCCAGATGTTGCGGGTCCCTTGAGCGATGATGAATTGCCGCTGCCGCTGCCGTCACTTCAGGCATCAATTATTTCACCTTAGTCCAATATATTATTTAATCATGTGATAAACACGGAACTTTTTGTGTGAACGTGTATTATTATCGCCTAAAACCATACTTGCTAAATGTACATGTACTGGATATACAGTACGTATATAGCGTATTATTCAAAAACTTTATAAATGAATTATGTATTATGTATGAATTAAATATATTTTTTTTACGCAAAATGTCCGAGTATTAAATTAACCTTTATTATTCAATGGTAATCTTGGGAGATGCTTTTAACAACCTCTTCGTAGTGTAACAGGTAAAAATGGAACGTGATTTCTGTCACGTGACCGATTGTCACATTAATGACAAGGTGGCTGTGATAATTAGGTAATAAGGGAGAGACGGGAAGGAATGTGAAAAAGAATTATGTCATCTAGCTTTAGCCATACCATTGTATTAGCGTCTATTATTCTA